TCCCCCACTCCTGCGAATGCCTGGGGACACGCCTGACCCCCGAGTCCCCGTGCAGCCTTCTCCCGTCCCACCCCAGGTCTGGGCGGCACGCTCCCAGTCTGGGCACGGGGACGCTGCTCTGTGGTCACCAGGGCCCTGGACAGCCTGTCCCCACGCGCTGGCCCCAAGCTGCCTGAAGGCCCAACTGACACGTCTCGCTCGGCCCGTGTGCCAGGCCAGGCCGGTGGCCTCCGCCTGCGGTTTGGACGCCCCACTCCATCCGCCCCCTTCGCCTGTGTGGGTCCCATTCATCCCTGTGTCTAGCTCTGTGTGCTATTCATCCGTGTGCTGGGCGCCTGCCCTCCGCCACCCAGGTGTCTGGGACGGCCCGCCCCCGTCTCCAGAGGGGCGTCCCCACCCAGACATGTCTTGGCCTGGACCCCACGAGTCAGAGTGTGGGGTCCTGTACCCCACAGGGTACCTGGGGTCCTGAAACCATTAGTGTGCGTGTGGGGTTCTGAACCCCGCTGTCGGAGTGTCAGAGGACCGCACCCCACTCCGCTGGAGAGCTGAGTTGGAGCCCACAGCCAGGTGCTCCTGAGGCACCGAGCACTAACAGACTGAACCCCATTCCCTGCAGAACTGGGGTGACCTCTATGTTACCTGTCCTCTCGGCCTTTCTGTAGCCAGGATGAGGGGTGCTCTGTTAGACTGCAAAACTGAGGACCTGGTACCCCAATAGTACGGGCAATACAGCCCCACACTCTGAGGGTCTGGGTGACACTCAGCATGGCACCGCTGGAAGCCACCACCTGAACCCCGAGAGGGTCGGGTAGCCTGGTTCCCCTGAGCAGACGGGGCTGGTCCCTGTCACCCCGAAGTCCTGGGTGCAGAAGCAGGTCTGGACCGCCCGGTCCGTCCTCCAGGTCCGAGGCAGCCCAGCCTCCTCGTGCCAGGCTCCAGCCTCCAGTCCTTGGCTCCGGGCCTCACCGTCTGGTCCACAGTTTTCTGAGTGTCTGGGCAGCCTGTACCCCCTCCTCCGTACGCCAACCTGACGGATACACAGCTCCCCAGTTCCCAGGGCCTCTGGGGGCGAAAGCCCTGCCGCCTGAGGTCCGGCGCCCCCTCCATCCGTGTTGCCCCACTTGCCTGCACTCCTGGGGCCACACTCCTGTCAGGGTCCTGGGTCACCCACACACCTGCCTCTCACGCCTGCCCACGTGAGCCGGGTCTCTGCCCACTCGTGATGCTGCCGGGCGGGCTACCCTCACCCCTCGAGCATCGGGCGAAGCTGCCCCAGTCCCCGGAGCTTTGCCGCCCTCATGCAGGGGCCTCGCGACCCCACTCCTGACCGTGAAGAGCTGACCCTGAACCCCAGGCCCACGTCCAGGCGACACGCCTGTGACCACCACGTGCAGATGCTCCCCGAATTGTCCGGGGTCCGGACGCGGCACCCGCCCCTGAGGGCCTGAATCACACAGAGGTCTACGTTGTGGGGTGCTCTGCGCCCCACTCACCGGGGACATCAGCAGCGTGTCCCCTCAGCGCCTGCACCCACCCCTCACGGCGGCCCTCGTCCAGGTCTGGGGCCCCCGCTGGCCAGTTCCAAGCCCGCCTTGTGCTTGGACGCTCGGCGCCCATTCACGGGTGTCCGGCCTGTGTGAGCCCATTCATCCCCCTCCCCCCGCGCCACCGGCTCCTGCGTGACTCCGGGCAGGCTGCGGCCCGTCCGCCCCCACCTCCAAGACAGTCTGTGCTTTGTCGTCCCTGTTCCAGGAACAGCCGCCGCAGGCCAGCAGGCACATTCCAGGGTTTGGCCGAGCGCCAACGCAAACCCGTTTGCTGGCATAGCAGCGAGAGGGGGCAGGGCGGGAGGCCGTGGCGGGGAGAGGGGGACCCTCCGGGTGGGACATGCGATCAAAGCCTTCCCTACATGGAGCGTGTCCTGGACGGGCTGCCAGCGGGGAGGGAGCGGCTGCGTGCAAATTCCAGACCCTCCACCGCCGCCCCTCCACCCCTCCACCCCTCCACCGCCCAGGCAGCCCCTCCGCCCGCCCATGGCCTCCCGGCCGCCAGACTCGTCCCCGTCAGCTCGGCAGGGCCCAGGGCCAGGCCAGGGGGTGGGGGGCAGAGGTGGGAGGTGGGTTTTCTACCTCGGGGACCACAGACAGACCCTGCTCCCCGCTGCCACGCTGGCCGACCACCTCCCCACTCGGCCCAGGGAGACGGGCCGGCTCCAGCACGCTGCCCCGTCGGGCCCTCTTCGGGGCGGGCTGCGCTCTGCCTGCACCGTCTCCCGCCTCTGCCAGGATGAGGTGGTGTGCCCCTGTGCCCCTTCCTGCCCGGGGGTCCCTGGGGCACAGGGAATTCGTTGTCCCGGCTCCCCAGAGCTGCCCTGTGAGCCAGGACAAGGGCCCCCTCTCTCGGACTCTCTGGGGGGGGCTGGTGTGTAGTCTCTGGAGGGACTGTCCCTCGGGATCTCCGCTGGCCGGTGTCCCCACAGGTGAGAGGACCCCTGTCCCCTCTCGTTCTCATTGGCCCTGGGACTGCCCACCTCCTGGGCCCTGCGCTTCCTCCACACTCGGAGCTCGGGGCCTGGCACCAGCCTGTCCCTCCCCCGCCCCCCCCCCCGCCAGCCACCCCTCCCCGGCCCCCAGGGCCGTGCAGAACGCCCAGGAGCCCCTCCAAGTAGGTGTGAGGGCCGTGGGGCGGCGAGGCTTTCCTGCCCCTGTGGGCTGGGTGGGCTGCGCTGAATCTGGCCCGAGGGACACTGGGCCCCGGCACCAGGCTGGACCATGGGCTGTGGGTGTGGACAGGCCCTGGAGGGGGTCTGGAGGCCACTTCCAGGGCCAGCCATGCAGCAGACGGCCCATCGGGGTCACTCTGGTGCTCGTGATGCCAGGCGAAACCTGTCAAGTGGGGACGGGGGCCCCCCGAGCCTACAGTGACGAGACAGCTCCCATTTGCCAGGACCCCAAGGGACCACGTGTGGCCCCTGAGCAAGCGCTGGGGAGCTCATCACAGAGAACTAGGAACGAGCCAGGGCCCCCCCAGTGCCCCCAGAGTCCCCAAAGCTCCGGAGAGGGTGTCCCGTTCCAGGCCTGCAGCTCTCCCCACTCAGGCTCGGGGCTCCTCCGGGCCCTGGCTGGGCCCCCCACTCTGCTGCTGGTGGTCTGCAGGTGACAGCTGAGAGCCGGGGAGCCCAGGACTCAGCCCCCGACATGTCCCCTCGGTGGGCCTTTCTCACTCCCGGTGGCCACCCCCAGGGCAGCCAGGGGCCTGGGACCCTCGACCAGCCCGTCAGCACGCCTCGGCCTCGGAGGCTGGCACCGTAGGGCCAGGGCTCAGGTGGCCAGGTGACCGCGGGAGGAAGACGAGATCAGCCAGGTTCCAAGCTCCCCCTGCTGTCCGGCTGCTGCTGGAGGCGGCTGACCTGCTCCCACCGACCCCGCTGCCTCCCTGCCAGCCCGCCCGGCTCCGCCCGCCCTGCCCAGCCCCGTGCAGCCCAGCCGGAGGCCCTGGCAGGCATGTGGGCACTCCCTCTGCACACGGGCTTCCCCCCTGGGCCCCTCCGCAGCCCCCCCGACCTGGCCTCCTCGTCCTGGAGGGCCCATCCCGGGAGCCCTGACTCCAGACCTTTCTGACCGAAGCCCCTCTCAGTGGAGTCGCCACGCTGACCCCCTTCCTGGATTCGGGGCCCCTCCTGGCACCTGGTCAGCACAGTAACCTCCCCCCGGCCCCTCAGTCCCCTCAGCCCCCTCACTTGTCCAGGAGGGAGGGCGGGTCCTCGGGAAAAAGCTACAGCTTCCTGACCTCACACCTGCCCTGACCCCACCCCAGAGGGTCACCTGAGTCCTGGTCGCAGGGCAGCAAAGGCCCCTGAGGGAGGCACAAGGACATCTCCCAGCGCCCAGGACAGGCCGGGACAAGGGGGTCCAAGGGCCAGGAGCTCCCCGATGCCCTGGGGAAGCAGGGTGGGGCCGAGAGATGGAGAGAGAGGTGACAGGTGGGGCTGGGGACACCTGAGCTCCGGGCACCAGGGGACACCTGCGTTTCCGTGGGTCTCAGCTGGGTGCGTGGAGACACGGGTCCCTCCGCCCGTAGGCAGGCAGCACCGAGCAGCTTGGCTGAGCGTCCCCCACCTGCACCCTCCTCTGTCCCTGGGTTGTGGCAGCGCTACCTGCAGGGCTGCTGGGACTCAGGGGCTCCCGTGACGAGGGCACGGCATCTCTTGTAAAGAACATTCCTGTCCTGCCAGGCCGGCGTGGCTCTCGGGTTGAGCATCGACCTATGAACCAGGAGGTTTGATTCCCGGTCAGGCCACAGGCCCGGGTGGTGGGCTCGATCCCCAGTGTGGGGTGTGCAGGAGGCAGCCAATCGATGATTCTCTCTCATCATTGAAGTTTCTGTCTCTCCCTCTCCCTTCCTCTCTGAAATCCTATATAATAAAGGTCTAATATGCTGCGTCCGACCCTTCATTCTACTGTTCTATCAATCGCTATGATGCACACTGACCACCAGGGGGCAGACGCTCCGACCAGTAGGTGAGCTTGCTGCTGGGATCCAGCGGATTGGGACCGGGATTGGGACCGGGAGAGACGGCCAGACCCGCCCTGGAGCCCTCCTGTGGTCCCTCCCCGGCCTCTAACATATTTCTTCTAATTAATTCCCGTTTAATGTGCATGAATCATCATTGAGGTTTCTGTCTCTCCCCTCTCCCTTCCTCTCTGAAATCAATAAAAATATATTTTTTAAAAAAGCAATGTCTCCGGACACTGCCATCTGTCCTTGGGAGACAGAATCTCTCTCTCTCTCTCTCTCTCTCTCTTTCTCTCTCTCTCTCTCTCTCTCTCTCTCTCTCTCTCTCTCTCTCTCTCTCACACACACACACACACACACACACACACACACGCCCAGACCACTGTCCTGGAGCCGCTAGCTCACCTGGGCTTACAAATCGACAATTTCCCAAATCTGGCCTTTCCGCAGCATTTATTTCTAAGAATCCTCCTCCGTGCCTCTCAGACTCGTATGTATCTCACCAAGAACTTGTGAATTCAGACATTTGTCTAAATATAGCTCCCGTGTGTAGTCCTTTTCCGCGGCCGTGCAGCACTGACCAGAGGCCGGAAGGCATTTCTGGCGTCCAGCGTTCGGAGTGACTCAGCCGGGCCTCTGCCCGCCACCCAGGCTGAGCTCAGGAGATTTGGGCCGGGTCCTCGTCGGGACGCCCCACCCCCCAGGGGGTCCGGGCAGGGCGTTGGCAGGATTCATGTCCACACAGTTGCAGAGTCCTGGTCTGATGTCTGCAGAGAAGGGCCTGCCTGAAGGTCACCTCTACCAGGAAGCCCTCCTGGACTCACTCAGCATCCACAGATGAGGGGCGGCACATCACCTTCATTTTTGCCCTCGTCTCTTTTTTTTTTCCTTCTTTCTTTTTAAAAATTTTTATTGATGTCAGAGAAGAAGGGAGAGGGAGAGAGAGAAAGAAACATCAGTGATAAGAGAATCATGGATCGGCTGTCTCCTGCACGCCCCCCACTGGGGATCGAGCCTGCAACCCGGGCCTGTGCCCTTGACTGGAATCAAACCGTGACCTCCTGGTTCCTAGGTCAACGCTCAGCCACTGAGCCGCGCCAGCCGGCTGCCCTCGACTCTTAGTGAGAAGTGAGTCACAGGCGCCACCCACACCAAAGGGAGGATGCGGGTTGGGTACCGGGTGACTCTCGGGGGCACTTGAGGGTGCGCTTGCCACGGGGCGTGTCAGGCCGGCACAGTACTTACCCCAGCCGGCGACCACCGGCAGACGTGAGCCGGGCCTCTGGCTCCAGAGCCTCACTCGCACCCGTCCGCTGCCCTGTCCCCCACCATCCGCGGATTCTGTTCAAATCCCACGTTCTGTTGTTAAATCGTGGGTCTCTCTGAACGATTTCGCGTGGGGTACGAGCTAACTCATCTCCCCCCCGGCTGTGAATTAATTTGACATTTTCCTCCTCGCTCCCCTCCAGGGGACGCCACCCGCACTCAGCCCGCCGGCTCTTCCGCTCCGTTCCCAGGGAACTGATTTATTCCCGTGGCTTTGAATGCCAGGTACGCGGCCCCCACATCCTGACCGCCCCCACCCAGACCCGCTCTGCCCTCACAGGTGCCCCTCTGCCCTCAGATGTCCAGCTCGGCCAGGGGCAGCCCTGCCCCCTCCCTTCCCTCACAGCCACACCGAATCTGCCAGCAGACTGTGTGGTAGGTTCTCACTCAAAACACAAATGTGCCGGCCGGTGTGGCTCAGAGGTTGAGCACTGACCTAGGAATCAGGAGGTCAGGGTTCGATTCCTGGTCAGGGCACAGGCCCGGGTTGTGGGCTCCATCCCCAGTGTGAGGAGTGCAGGAGGCAGCCGGTCCATGATGGTCTCTCATCCTTGATGTCTCTATCTCCCTTCCTCTCTGAAATGAATAAAAATATATTTATCAAAAAAACACACCAAAAAAGAACCCTGCAAATGTGTCCAGAGTCTGCTGGCTCCCTCGACGAGCTGTCTACCCCTTGAGTACCCCGGGTGTCCAGGGAGAGGGGAGAGGGTCTCACCACTGGCCTCTGAGGCCGAGATCGGGGTCACGGGGCCCCCAGGAAGCCCGGGGCTGTGCTACGTGACGGTGCAGAGACAACAGGGTCGCTTGGCTCGGGTGAGGTTTGCTCTCCTCTCCTAGGGCCGCCGCTGGGAGCCGCTGCACAAGCCGTGCCGCTGCCGCTCCGTCCAGGGGATGCCGACTCACCCAGGCCCACGGCTGCCACACTCCTCTTCCCTCAGGCTGAGGAGGTGCTGGGGGGGTGGGGTGAGCCACGCAGGATGCATCGAGGTGGACGTGGGCCCCAGGCCCCGCTGGGATCCGTGCCTCCTGCTCCAAACACGTGCTGTCCACCTGCCCCGTCTCCTCCGTGAGAGCCCATCTCCTGTGCTCGCTCCCCGTAAATCTCCGAGGCCCGGAGGCAGAGCCAGGCAGATGCCGGGGTCTTTGTTCTCAGATGAGTTGTGGCCAGAACTTCAAAACGTCCTAAGGAAGTGAGAGCAGGAAGAGAAACATCTGGGAGACGGCTGCTTCCCCGACACCCCTCCATCCCGAAACCAGCGGGGAATGTGGGGAATAAAACACATTGCGTGACATCAGGCAGCAGGGCAGGGGTCCCTGGGGCGGGGGATGGTGGGGGGGGGGCGCACCCATCCGCCTGGAGAGGGTTTCCAGGCGCAGATGGCGCCTGACAGTCGGCTGAGCTAAGCCGACCTCGGAGCCCAGGGAGGTCACACGCTGGAGGTCACACAGTGGAGGTCACATGGTGGGTCCCGGGGTGGGCAGAGCCGCCGGGAGAGCCCCAGGCACCGTGAGGATCCCTTGCAAGTTTTCAGCTGCTAGGATGGGTGAATGCACGGGAAAACCGCCCTGAGATGGGGACAGACGCCTGACAGAGCGGAGGGAACAAAACTCAGAGCTCCCAGCACTGGGAACGCTCGGCCCTCAACCCAACGGTGGGAACCTCGGAGCTCACAGGGGCTGGGCAGAGCCCCCAGGAGGCCTGGCCTCCTCGGAGGGAAAGACCAGCTCCGGGCGAAGGCTGCGCCGCTTCTGTTAGTGAGGCTCCTGCACTGAGACGCGGGCAGCCCGGCCGGCGTGTGAACCGGGAGGTCAGGGTTCGATCGGTCAGGGCACATGCTGGGGGTGGGGGGGGGGCCTCCATCAGCAGTGTGGGGCGTGCAGGAGGCAGCCAATCCATGACTCTCTCTCACCACTGATGTTTCTCTCGCTCTCCCTCTCCCTTCCTCTCTGAGATCAATAGAAATATATTTTTAAAAAAGACTGAAATAAAGAAGTTCTTGGTCACTGAGACGGAGGAGCCCTGGAGCAAGAAGCTGAGAGTAACCGCACCGACCGCACCAGGAAAACACCCTGGCTCCCAGGACGGCAGGAGCCGAGCGCTCTGTCCACAGGATCCCCCTGGGAGAGCAGCCTGAGCGCCAGGGGAGGGGGCAGCCCACCGCTCCCTGCATGTCAGCCTCAGCCAAGAACTGCGGATGCAAACGGGGCCACACGCTGCACCCGACAGGCTCCGGAGAGGCCTGCATGGCGGCCCCCCACCTCAGAGACCGAAGGAACCCACAGGAGGGCGGGAACGTAAACACTCCGGGGCAGCAAGCCCCCCGCGGCCTGCAGTCCCCTCGACACGAGCCAACCTCTACCTTAAGAGAGTCCTCGCCCGTCCTGTGCCTGGACGGTGACCTGCCTTTGAGATGTCAGAGACCCACCAGAGCCGGAGCCCTCAGGGCCCTTGGTCGGGGCAGACACAGGCCACCAGGGACCAGCTACAGTTCTCAGACACAAATCCTGCTCTGTTCACCGCGACGGCTTTGTTCTGATTAAAGAAGGCGCGTTCTAACCCGGGGACCTGGGAGTCAACCTCGGAATGTGGACCCTCTCCTCCTGCCCAGCTGGGCAGGTTAACCCCTTGTTGCCCACACGATGGAGCCGCCCACATGGCCTGTGACCTGGAACCATCACACCCATTCTTACTCCCTTTGCCGGCTGCCCCAGGAGTCTTGTCCGGCCCCATGTAAGCAGCTTGCGGTGGGCGCAGGGCAGCGGTCTGTGGATGGCCTGCTGCCGGCAGGATTGGAACACACGCTCGTGGATGAGCTCCTAACTGGCCTCAGGTAGTGACAGCGCCCGGACCCCCTGCTGGTGTGGTTTCACCCCCGTTGGTATCTTGCTCCCTGCACACCTTCCCCATGTGCAGGAAATGTCAGTAACTCCCCACCCTGGAAAAGATGTGCTTCTCGGGTTTGCTCTTGTTTTTGTTAAGCCTCACCCGAGGATATTTTTCCGTTGATTTTTAGAGAGAGTTGAAGAGAGAGGGAAAGACAGAGAGAAACATCGATGTGAGAGAAACACATCAATTGGTTGCCTCCTGCACGCGCCCGACCAGGCCCCGGGCCGGGGAGGAGCCTGCAACCGAGGTACTAGGTGGACTGGTTAATAATGCGGATTTTTTTCAATAGATGGAGTTACACATATGATGATATATATGCGATTTGATATGCATGTTATTTTGTTGTATTGACAGCAAGCTTCAAAACTTCCAATTTTCTGAAGGTGTTAACATCAGATATTTTTACGCTTAAAAATGTCAAATTTCCAAATGCCAAAAAAAGAGCACTTGCGGGAAGTTTTAATTCATTCCTTTATTTTGAAGAAAAGAGCTGCTGAAAGTGATCGTATACTTCGGGAAGCTTATGGTGAACATGCTTCAGCTCAAGATACTTGTGAACGCTGGTTTAAACGCTTTAAAGGTGGTGATTTCGACGTGAAAGACAAAGAACGTCCAGGTCAACCGAAAAAGTTGGATTCGGGGCCCAGCTGGGAGGCCGATTGCGGATGACTGGCCTCCAGACCAACAATGACAAGCATTATTGGATGAAGATGCGTGTCAAACTCAAAAACAACTTGCAGAAAGATTAAACGTTGCTCAGCAAACAATTTCCGATCGTTTACAGGCAATGGGAAGGATCTTAAAGGAAGGAAAATGGGTGCCACATCAACTGGACAAAAGACAAATGCTCTTTTTTGGCATTTAGAAATTCGACATTTTTAAGCATAAAAATGATGTTAACACCTTCAGAAAATTTGACATATGAGGTTTTGAAGCTTATTGTCAATACAACAAAATAGCATACATATCAAATCGCATATATGTCAACATATATGTAACTCCATCTATTGAAAAAAATCCGCATTAACCGGTTCACCTAGTATGTGCCCTTGACCGGAATCGAACCCGGGATCCTTCAGTCCACAGGCCGACACTCTATCCACTGAGCCAAACCGGCCAGGGCTCTCAGGTTTCCTCGTGATCCAGTCCCAGAGCTTTCCCCGCTCTGCTTTCTCCGCCCCCTTAATCTACCACCACGGACTGCATGTGACCCCCCTCGCGCCTCGGCTTTTATTCTAATTGCAACCGTTTTCCGGAGCGTTTTCTCAAGCCGCAGAGTTTGGTCGTCAGTCTGGCTCTAGTGAACACACCGAAATCCTGCAGGTTTGGGTGTTTCTTACCTCGAAGGACCCGGCCTCGGCCTCTGGGTCTGCCCAGAACTGGTGAGCATGAACGCGGCTGTTGGGCGGCTGCACTGGTGCTTACATTCGAGCAGGAGGAAGTCCTCAAACCAATTGCCTCAATTCCCACCCTAGGAAATCAGAAAAGAGAAACACAAATCAAATCTACAGTGAGAGGAAGGAAGAAAGGAAGGAAGGAAGGAGGGAGGGAGGGAGGGAAGGAGGGAAGAAAAAGATGATGCAGGAGTAGAAACCTATGAGGTAGAAGACAGAAAACCAATGAAACTATCTAGTCAGATTTATTCAGAAAGAAACGAGAGAAGATACAAATCATCGACATCAGGAATGAGGTAGGAGTGATCATTGCAGATCCTACAAAAAAGGAATAAGAGAAGTCAGCCCGGCCGGCGTGGCTCAGGGGTTGACTATGAACCAGGTCACGGTTCAATTCCCGGTCGGGGCACAGGCCTGGGTTGCAGGCTCCATCCCCAGTGTGGGGCGCGCAGGAGGCAGCTGATCGATGATTCTCTTTCATCACTGAAATTTCTACCACCCTCTCTGAAATCAATAAAAATATATATATATATTTTTATAAATGAAGGTTTACAGGGCAAAAGCGGGGCCTACAGATCGAGAAGCTGGACTGCTGAGGGGAAATCACCTCCCCTTGGGGAAGGCAGGGGTCTTATCAGCCAAAGATCAGACGGATGGGCCCCGCCCGCCCCTCTCCCTGCCCCTGAGTCATTGCTCCAAAGAGGGGGGCATCACAGCCCCCAACCCGTTTATCCAGCTGCCCGGGAGGGGCTGGGTGCCACAGGGGAGCTGGCATCCCTGAGAGCCGGCGGGCACTGACCGCCAGCCATGGGCCCACCCCTGGGCACAGGACCCCGTGTCCCGTGGGCGGAGGGTGGGGAGCTGCGGGGAGACTGATAAGGTCAGTTCCGGGAGCCGAGGCAGAGCAGGTTCTCCCGGGAGTGGAGGCCTCCCCTGGGCTCACGGGCACACCTCTGCACCCCCTCCGAGAGGTCGGGACAGGGTGGCCGGGCCCTGCCCTCTGGGGGCCAGCGATGTGGGCACCCCCTCCCCGTGGCTCTGCAAGGACATCTCTGGGTCGAGGCGGGCATGGAGGCGAGATGGCCCGGCCCAGCCCGGCCGGCCGTGTGGTGTGGAGCGAGGTCAGCTGTGGCCGCAGCGGGTGAGGTGAGTGCAGAGGTGTGGGTGGTGCCCTCTCCCCAGGGGCCTCCAGCTGCCAAGGCACAAGCCGTGCCTTTGTTCTGTGGACACTTGCAGGGCCCGGGAGCACTTAGGCAAGGCCACCGCATTGCTCAATCCCCGCACTCACCGAGCCTGCTCGCTCGCAAAACAGGCCAGCAGCGGACCGGCCGGGTGAGTCGGCAGAGCAATCCGACCCCACAGGCTGCCTGGCCCGGCAACTCACCCGTCCCCAGGGCCCAGCTCACTCAACCAGCCCCACGGCCTCCCCTCCCACAGCCCTGCGAGCCTCCCCAAGTCCAGCACCCACCCATCCTACCCCAGCCCCTCCGCTTAACCCCCGGGTGTCCCCCTCGGATGCTGGGCTCCGGATGCCTGCCCCTCCCCCGCTTCTCACCCTGCCCACCTGCCCTGGCCTTTGTGCAGGTTCCAGGCCAGGCTCTGGCAGCTGACTCCGTCCCTCTCCCTCCCTTGGCCTTGTCCTGACTTTGCCCAGAGGTACAATGTCCTTGGGGACAGCTCTCTCTGCAGTCCAGCCACCGGCACCGCCCACGCTCTGGGCCCCCAACCGAAGTCCTGTCCTCTCCCTAATGTTCTCTGTGTCGACACAGGGCACCCCCGTTCTGACCCCCAGGCCTGTGCCCATGTGACCTCACAGGGCAAAGGGGGCTTTGCAGATCTGGCTGTGGACCCTGAAAGGGAGGAGGACCCTGGGTGACCCAGTGGAATCACAGGGGTCCCTGGGAAAAGGAGGCAGGCGGGGGGGGGGGCGGTCAGAGGCACGGCAGGGCCATGCGCCCAGGACGCAGCCTCCCCAGGAGCTGGAAAGGCAGGAGGTGGGGTCTGCCCTGGAGCCTCCGGGAGGACTGGCCAGCAGCACCTTGGTTCCAGCTGGGAGGCCGATTGCGGACGACTGGCCTCCAGACCACAAGAGGATGACGCCGTGTTGTTTTAGCCACTCCACCTGTGGTCCTTCGTCATGGCAGCCGCAGGGCCCTGGCAGGCAGTGCTGTTTGCCCAGTGACTCACTCCTCTTCCTCACACTCCCCGTGCCCACCACTTCCTAGTATGTCGTCACTTCCCTTCGTTTCCCATTTCTTCAGGGATGGATCCAAGGTTCCAGGTCCCTCCCCTTTCCCACGTGTCCACACTGAGGAGGAGGGGACTGCTCGGGGGTTGGGGGCCCCTGTCCTTCCTTTCTGTTCAATGTCCCTGCGGTAACTCGGGCCCTCACCCCAGGGCCTGCACACCAAACCTCAGCCACCTCCCACCCCCAGAGGCCTTTCGCCCAGCCCCTCCTCCCTGAGTACCCCCGAAACAGTCACCAACCCCCCCCCCTGCTTGGCCCACCGCCACCTGCCTGGCTCACAACCCCCCACAGCACCTCTCAGGGAAGCCTTTCCCATACCTGCCTGTATTGGTCAGGATTCTCCAGAGAGACAGCGTGCTTATCTATCTGTCTGTCCATTCATGCTTCCATCATCCACCCATCCATCTACCCATCATCCATCCCTCTTTCCATCCATCCATCCATCATCCATCCATCTATGCATCCACCCACCCATCCATCCATCATCCATCCATGTATCCACCCATCCATCCATCCATCCATCCATCTACCCATCCATCCATCATCCCTCATCCACCCATCCATCCATCCATCCACCCACCTATCCATCCATCCATCCATCCATCCACCCATCCATCCATCTATCCGTTCATCCATCCATCATCCATCCCTCTTTTTATCCATCATCCATCCATCCATCCACACATCAATCCATCATCCATCTATACATCTTCCATCCATCCTTCCACCATCTCTCCATCCACCAACCCACCACCTATACACCTTCTATCCATCTATCTTTCCTTTCATCTATCCATCCATCATCCATCCATCCATCCATCCATCCATCCATCTGTCTGTCCATCTATCCATTCATCCATCTATCATCCATCATCCATCCCTCTTTCCATCCATCATCCATCATCTAGAGAGATAATTTGAAGGGATTGGCTCACGTGACTGTGGGTCCTGCTGGCTGGAGCCCCAGGAAGCTGAGGTTGCAGCTCCAGTCAGAAGGCGTCTGGAGGTAGAATTCCTTCGCCCTCGCGGATCTCAGTCTTTTCTCAAGGCTGCAGCTGACTGGCTGAGGCCCACCACGCGATGGAGGGCGATCTGCTTCAGTCCAAGCCTGCTGACTGGAGCTGTCAATCACATGTGAAGGTCACCTTCACAGAAACACCCAGAACGTTGGACCAAGTAGCTGGGCACCACGACCGGCCGAGTTAACACCCCGTGGCTGCCCATCCTCCCCTCATCTGCACTCGCCTCGGGCACCTCTGTCCTCTGCCGCCCAGAGCAGGGCAGCCTCTGTGCTCGCACCCGAGCCTGTCGCCAAGTGGCAGAAAATGCAGGACACAGACCCCAAGGGCAGGGGCCGGGCTGCACCTCGAGAGCTCTGTGCAGCTCACCCAACCTCAAACCCGCCACCACAATGTGCCCCCTGAGCCCCAACACCCCCCACACCTCAGGCTTCAGGCCTCGTGGGGCCCCGAAGAGGGGTTCCCTGCGTGCCCGGTTTGTCTCCCCAGTGAATTGGGGTAGAGGCAGCTATGCCCTCCCGGGCCCCCCACAGCCTGGCCAAGTGTATGTCTGCCTCAGGCATTCCTGGGGTTCCCCATGTGGCTGCCAGACCCCCCAAACCACTTCCCAAGGGCAGCCATGATGGAGGAAGGCCATGGCTCTGAGCTCAATCCTTGGCCCTGGGGTGCTTACTCCAGAGGGCTTGTGAACCACTAGGACCCTGGTCTCCTTTTCATCAGCATCTAGACCAGGGGTGGGCAAACTTTTTGACTCGAGGGCCACAATGGGTTCTTAAACTGGACCGGAGGCCGGAACAAAAGCATGGATGGAGTGTTTGTGTGAACTAATATAAATTCAAAGTAAACATCATTACATAAAAGGGTACAGTCTTTTTTTTTTTTTAGTTTTATTTATTTCAAATAGGCCGGATCCGGCCCGCGGGCCATAGTTTGCCCACAGCTGATCTAGACTGAAGCCCTGAGATATGGTTCTGTTCTCAAAGCCTCTGAGCTTTGTCTCTATCTCAGCACAATCCACCAGTGTGTGCGTGTGCGTGTGCGTGCGTATGTGTGTGCCTGTATGTGTGTGTGGGGGGGTGTTGAGGGGGTGGTGACTTCACAGCTCAGCAGGTCCACCACCGACTGAAGAAAGCAAGTGTCCCTGCAGCACCCGGGCTCCTCTCGATGCCCCCAAAACGCCAGGCCCGCCGCAGCTCCCTGCTGGTGGGGAGTCGGCCCCACACTGGGCACAGGTTTGGGACGTTGGTGGCTGGGGCTCAGGGGAGAAGCCAAGGCCCAGTGGAGAGGACACGCGGACTGGGCTCCAGCCCTTGTGGGCCTGGACGCTGGGCCTCCCTGCCGTGCAGAGAGCTGCACTGAGGTGTGGGGCAGTGGCCCGGGTGGGAAGCCCTGAGTGACAGCGGGGAGGGGGGTGGGCTGGCCCCTGTTCGGTAGAACCCGAAGGGCACGAGGCCAAGCCAGGTCCTGTCCGGCAGGGCACCCAGAACGCCCCCTCCTGGACCAGCCGAGCCTGGCATTCCCCCTGCTCCACCCCCTGTGCCCGTCACCCTCCCCCTGCCCTAAGGGTGCCAGCCACTCTCAGCCCACCCTCCCCCACCAACTCAGGCCCCGTCCAAGGAGCTGACCCGAAGCTAATTCCCTCAATGGCCTCCTCCACCGCAGAACTAATGTCCTGGGCCTGTGGCTGGGGCCCAGGGAGCTGCACCCCCACTTCCTCCTGGCTCCGAGGGCTGAGGTGGGGTGACTCAGGCCCAATTGGAGGGCAGGGCAGGGAGGGCAGCCCAGCAGGCATGACTCAGCTTCTTAGCCGTTCCCCCACCCACCTCCTGGGAGGACCTGTCACGACGACTTCCCACCCGGCACCCAGAGCAGCCCCGGCCCAGGCCACCCTGCAGCCCAGCCCCCTGTGCACCCACAGACCTTTCCTCATCTCGGGGCACCAGGAAACCAGGAAACCACAGGCTCAGAGCTGCAGCTGAGGGCGTGGCCAGCACACGCTCCTCCCGGGCTGCTGGGGGTCTCGGGGCCTCCGGGTGACACCCAGCCCCAGGGCAGGGGCCCAGGGCAGAGAAGAGACTGCCACCAGTTGGGACCCCTTCCCTCCTCCCTGAGGGACAGAGGGACAGAGGCGAGAGAAGGGCCAGCAGCCGCAGCCCCAGCTCCGCGTCCACTGTGTGTGCTGGGGTTTGGTCCTTCTCAAAGTCTGTCGCCTCCAGTTGTGTGAATCTGATGAATGATTAACCTCGCTCCAGGCGCCTTCCGCCTTCCGTCTGGGGCCATTGTCAGCGCTGCTGCGCGCACATCCTCGTACCTGACCTGGTGACTGGGGACACTGCGCTGTGGGTGTCTGTCCCTCGAAGAGGTGCCGCTGGCCGGGGGCAGCTCGGGACCAGCTTTTGCGGACGGGGCACACGGCTCCCAAAGTGCTTGTGCCAATTCGCCGTCCAGCCGGCCGCTCACTCCATCGCTCTGTCCCGACCATGTGCTTCCCAGCATCTCCACGCAGCGTCCTGGCGGGTGTGCCGGGCGAGCAGCTCCCGTCTGCACCTCCTGAGGACGAATGCAGACACCACCTCCACACGCCACCGGGCGCCTGGCTTCCCTTGCCCGTTGCTTTTTTGTTTTTTTTCTTTTTCTATTGGGTTGTCTATCTTTTATCAGCTTGCGGTTCTTCTTTACTTTACACACCATTGCTGGTCGGACACCTGAGGCGTGTTCTCCATCCCGTAGCTCGCCTTTCACTCTCCTGTCTCGCTGTTTTCTGAGGGACAGGAGTCAGTTGTGTTAGCACAGCCCAGTTCCTCATTTTCCCCTAGAAGAGGTGGGCGCTGCTTCCCCCGCCGATGGCAGAGTTCACAGTTCACACGTGCAGAGAAGTTGGCGGACAGCACTGGTCCCCTGAACCCACCCGCACACACGCAGGGTCTCCTGCTATCAGCATCTCCTGGCTGTGGGCCATTTGTTACAACCGACGAGTCAGTATCGATCTCGTTACCAACCAAAGCGCACGTTTCCCGGAGTTCTTTCTTCAGGGGCATCTTGTGGGTTTCGGGGAATCTCTAACATCATGAGTCCCTCATTCCTCATTCTAACCACACACAGAGCTGTCTCACGGCCCTAGAAATGCTCTGTGCACCACCTGCCCGCCCCCCGCCCCCCGCACCACAACCAGAGCTGTCACGTCCCCACACCCTGCCGTTCCCGGAGCCACAGGCGGAACCACACGAGGTGACCTTTGCAGTGTTTTCTTTCGCGTATGAAGATGCATCTCCGTTTCCTCCGGTCCTTTCGGGACCTGAGAGCTCATCTCTCCGTATCACTGAACAGACCCCACCGCTGGGTGGACCACTGTCTGTCCATCACGTGCGGCAGGACAGCGCGGCTGCCTCCAAGTGCCGGCGATGACGACTAAGCTGCTGTGAACACTCACGTGCAGGCTTCCAGGTGGACCTACGTGTTCTGTCTTTTTTAAATACGTTTTTATGGATCTCAGAGAGGAAGGGAGAGGGAGAGAGAGAGAGACATCGATGATGAGAGAGAATCATCCATCGGCTGCCTCCTGCACGCCCCACACTGGGGATCGAGCCCACAACCCGGGCTTGTGCCCTGACCTCCTGGTTCATAGGTCGACGCTCAACCACTGAGCCACGCCGGCCGGGCTGGACTAAGCTTTCAAGGAGCGTGGTTACTGGATCCTGTGGTGAGACTCTGTCTGGTTTTGTAAGAAACCACCAGCCCGCCTTCCAAAGCGCCCCCCGCCCCCCTCCTCAAGCCGTGAGTGCGATTCCTGCGCTCCGCCCGCCGGCGCGTGTTCTGTTTGGATCCGGGCCTGCTGGTGGGTGTGCAGCGAGGTCTCACTTGTTTCGAGGCGCACTCCCACACGACACAGGTGTCTCTTCACAGGCGCACGTCCCTGGCACCTCCTCGTCCCTGGCCTGTGGACTGAGGTCTTTGCCCATTGCGGTCGGTTGTGCACGTCCTCGTGGCTGAGTTCTAGGAGGGCCTGGCACGTTGCCGACAAGTCCTGATCAGACCCTCCTTCCCCACGGGGCTTGTCTGTCGTTTTCACAGGCACCTGGGTGCCCTCGTGGCTTCCTGTTTAAACAGCACATCTGTGTGGATGGCGAGACCGCACAGAGGGTCCCCTGGGCCCTTTTCCCCTCAAGGAGTCTCCGTTGGCACTTCTCTCTCTAACCCGCTGGGGCCTGAGAGTGTGCGTGGTGCGAGGGAGGACGAGACGCTTCCATCCAGCTGCACGCGTACTGAGACCCCCCTCAGGTTAGGGGGAGACTCTTCCGCTCCACCTCCCCGTCTGCTATCTGTCCGCGCACCAGCTCCCCACCCTCCACACTACTGGCCCCTCTAGGAGCCGCTCTCCTACACTTCACCCCGCCAGGCCCGGGCTGCTCTCCGCAGGGTCAGACGGTACACGCCGGGGTCAGTGCGGAGCCCCCTTTTCCAGGGACTGCTCCCGGCACCCCGTGTCCCAGCGGCCACCCCTCCTTGAGCCGCTCTTCGCGGGGCCCCGGCACCCCTCTCCTGGCCTCCGGTCCCTGCAGCTCCGCTCCGTCCCCTCTGCCCGTCCCCCACCATCTTTCACCTCCTGAGGTTGGGAGGCCCTGGGCCTCCTCTAGTCTCTGCTCCAGCCCTGGGTTGCGTCCAGTCTCATCACTGAGCTACTGCTGACCGTTGAGGAGGGCACATCAGACTTGAGTCCTGGGGGGTCCTTGAAGGTTGGGGTTCCTCAGTGTGCTGAGGAGGTGCAGTCCCTTGCCCCGTGCTCCGGGGTCAAAGTGCATGGAGTGGCACCTCCTGACGAGAGGGCTGGGTCTGCCCTGGAGCCCACGTGCTGCTGGGAGTGGAAACCCCACGACACCGAGGAGCGTGGCCTAGTGTCCCCAAGGCAGAGAGACGGTGGCCCTGGGCATCGAGGGGCCCTGTCCTGCCATCTCCGCTTGGCTCTGTCCCCTCCACTCCCAGTTCCAACAGCTGCTGCCCCTCAACAGCCACGGCAGGTCCCCTGGGCGTCGTCTCCGCGGCACACCCCAAAACTGAGCTGGCCTCCTCCCAGGCCCTCCTCCCGTGCGTCCGTCTCAGCCAATGGCACGCCATCGTCTGGCTATCCTGGACAGACCCCTGCTGAGTATGGACCGTTCCATCGCCCTCCATTTGTCCCATTGTCGGAAACCCTACTGGCCCTGCCCCCAAAGTGTGCCCCAAAGCTGACCGCTCCACACAGCCTCCTCGCCCGGCCAGCCTCAGCCAGGCCCCCAGACCCCCAGCCCCCCAACCCCCCAGCCCGCTCCCGCTCCCTCCTGCATCCAGC